AGAATAAAGGAGAGGGAGAGAGAGAGAAAAACATCAATGATGAGAGAGAATCGTTGTTTGGCTGCCTCCTGCACACTCCACACTGAACCACACCGGCTGGGCTATATTAAATGCTTTAGAAAATAAGTTATAAAAGTGTCTTTTTTTTATCTTAAAAAGTGGAAAGAGAGGGTATTGTGTGTATCGTATGCTGGGGAGGTAGGAGAGGTGCACAGACTAAGAAGAATACAAATAAAATAAGGTAAACTTTGGTATGTGACAATTTCAAGTGTTTTGAGTTTTGAAGCAGATAACATATTTCAGTTGTTGGGACCAGGACTGGCAGAGATGGTAGGTGTGTCAGGGAGGGGCATCCTTTGAGATGACACTTTAACAGAGTTCACAGGCACACATAATGGTGATATGGTATAATAAATAGCATTATAGAGGTACACATCATTTTCAGAAATAACACTGGGAAAGTTGGCCACATTATGAAGTACCTTAAATTCTGAGTTGAGTTGTCTGCTTAGTAGATAAGGAACCAAATAAAATTGATCAGAGAACTGTGCTTTGAGAAGACTAAACAGGGTAACACAATGTAAGGAGAGAATTGGAAGATTAACCAGGAGATTTTACAGGAAATAATGAGCTCTTGGATGATAAATAGTAGATGGAACGGCAGGATATAATAAGAGACCCTTGAAACCATTGGAAGTGGGCAGTTAGAAAATGGATGGTTTCAGTGTCTATATCAAAGCCTGGCAGAATAAGCTCCCATGAAATGTTTGTTACATTGTAGGATATCAGAGTTTTCTACTTGGATAAAAGAGAATATTGTGGTGTCATTTGTAGAAACTAGGAGAAAGAACTAATTGGAGTGGAAAGATAATTTGATTTTATGTATATGGAATTTGAAGTATCAAAGAGACATAAATTCTTATTCCACAACTAAGTTTTAAAACTTGTAGTCTTAGCCCTAACCGGTTTGTCTCAGTGGATAGAGCGTCGGCCTGCGGACTCAAGGGTCCCAGGTTTGATTCCAGTCAAGGGCATGTACCTTGGTTGCGGGCACATCCCCAGTGGGAGATGTGCAGGAGGCAGCTGATCGATGTTTCTCTCTCATTGATGTTTCTAACTCTCTATCCCTCTCCCCACCTCTCTGTTAAAAAATCAGTAAAATATATTTAAAAAATAAAACTTGTAGTCGTAAACATTAAGTTTTGCCCATTCTTGCTCTTTGCCACTGTGTATATAGAATTTTAGGAAATATTTAAGCTGTTAAAATAGGAAAGTAATTTACAAGTAATTTTTTTCATTATAATAGATGTAATTTTAAAGTTTAAATATGAATTGCTTTTTATTATGACACAGGTGGGAACAAGAGCCCAGGCAGAGAGAATTCGGACATATAATTTCACCCAGGACAGAGTCACCGACCACAGGATAGCATATGAAGTTCGTGACATTAAGGTAATATCACTGAGTATGCTTTATGTACCTTCAACTTTTGAAAAAAGTATAGTCAAATTCTGGAGAGTAATGTCTAAAATATTTTTTTTAATATATTTTATTAATTTTTACAGAGAGGAAGGGAGAGGGCTAGAGAGTTAGAAACATCAATGAGTGAGAAACATTGAACAGCTGCCTCCTGCACGCACCCTACTGGGAATGTGCCCACAACCAAGGTACATGCCCTTGACCGGAATCGAACCTGGGACCCTCCAGTCCACAGGCCGATACTCTATCCACTGAGCCAAACCGGTTAGGGCGTCTAAAATATTTTTAAATAATTTTAAATCATTAAACCAATTTATGTAAGTACCTTAAAATTTGCAAACATTTTTATTAGTTTACTGGTAAGAAACATGATCTTTTTGCCAGTTTGGAACAACTATCTTATAAATTCTAATTTATTTTTAAACCCACAATGTATTAATATATATATATATATTTTTTAAACAGTGTAAGCTTCAAGGGTGCTACTCTGTTTTTAATTTTTTTTTATTGATTTCAGAGAGGAGGGGAGAGGGAGAGAGAGATAGAAACATCAATGATGAGAGAGAATCATTGATTGGCTGCATCCTACATGCCCTCTATTGATGACCGAACCTGTAACCTTGGCATGTGCCCTTGGCTGGAATCGAACCTGGGACCCTTTAGTCTGCAGGCCGATGCTCTATCCACTGAGCCAAACCAGCTACTGCATTAATAAATTTTAAATATATCGATGTGCCACTTTACCACTGGGATATGTTGTGAGAAATGCATCGTTATGCGATTTAATCATTGTGCAAACATCACAGAGTGCACTTACACAAACCCTAGATGGTATAGCCTGTTACACACTTAGTTAAACACAAAAGAAAATGCTGCAGTCAAAAGACATGGTAAACATGAGATGTATGATGCTGCTGTCAGTGTAACCAGGCATACTGTTTTACAGAAAATGTTTTTAATCAGTCTAAAGAGTATACTCTAAAAATAACAATTAAAAGTTTAATATAGTAAATACATTAACCAGTAACAAGTTTATTATCATTATCAAGCATTATGTACTGTTCAAAATTGTATGTGCTACTTTTATACCACTGGCAGTGGAGCTTAGAGCCTTCTTCCAAGCTCATGTGGTTGTTGGCAGAATTGCATTTTCTTGCTGGCCATCAGCTGGATGCTGATGCTCTCAGCTCCTAAAGATCCACACAGTTGCTTACCATATGCCCCCCTCCATATGTCCTATCCCACTTTGAACCTCTTGCAGAAATGGCTCAGGCCTTTTTAAGGGCTCACATGTTTAGGGCAGGCCCACCTGTATAATACCCCTTTTTTAACTTAAAGTCAAACTGATCACTGGAGTGATATTTCATCATATTCACGGTTTCTGCCTGCAGTTAAGGGAGGGAATTATGAAAGGTGTGTACACTAGAGGGCATCTTATATATCTGCATTACCACAACGTATATTCATTAGATCGAGGTACTACAGTTAACTGTT